CCCTCCCTCCCGCCCACCATCACCATGGACTGGGCCCAACACACATTCTGCGAGTAGATCTACCTCCCACAGCCGCCCGCAAAAAGGCCGGTTCTTCACCCCAGCATCCTCCCCGCCCGCCCCTCATCCATTCACGCAAGTCAGTCAGTCAGTCAGTCCTCTCTAAGTCCCTCCCGTCGGAGCACCGCAGCCTCGTTCCGCCTTTGCCCTTTTCACCCGCCCCCTGCTGCTGCGCCTGCGGCACTGATGCAGGAGGAAGGAGTGTGGACGTCAGAGGGATGGGTGGGTCGGACGATGGACGGAGAGAGGGAGTGGTCTGTGTCGACTGGGTCTTGGTCTCGCGGCCGGTGACGACGGGCAGATAGTACACCTGCTTGGGGAACGGTGGGGGGAAGGGGTAGCTCTTCTGGTGGATGGCTGGTTCCTTGGCTGCCTCGTCCTTGATGGAGTCCTCCTTCTCCGTCGACACAGCATCACCACCCCCACCCCCGCCAACGCTCACAGTGAACAGTGTGGCCTTGGCGCCGCCCGTCATGCACCGGGCGCCCTCATGCACCACATCCCCTCCACCATCACCGCCGAAGGTAGGTGGGGGCGCAGGCACACCCACGGCCGTGATGGGCTGCTCGTTACTGCTGTACGCCGAGAATGGCGAGACGGGCGACAGGCCTGCGGCCGTCGAGTGGTCCGCATCGCGCCGGCACTCCTCTTCCCTGTCCGGCCGTCGGTCTGTGCGCTGGGCGGGACGCCGTGAGGACGACGAGTACGGTGCCCGGGGGCGGTAGCAGCTCTGAGCAGTAGGGCGCGAGTATGAGGGCGGGTGACGGTTGTGGATGGGTGGCAGCTCGTAGTGGATGGTGCGGGGGTCGCGCAGCTCCTGGTCGCTGTGTGCGAATGGGCAGAAGAAACGGTCGCACTTGGGGTAAAACTGACAGAAGGACTGAACGACAGATAAAGACACGCAAAAGAAAGGCTCTCTCTTTTTCTCTGTGTCTGTCATGTGTGTTGGTTGGTTGGTTTGTTCTGCTTACTGACTTACCGTCTTGTATCTGAGTGGGTGGTAGAGGGTCTCCTCCTTCGTGTGGCCACGCGCGCCGCACAGACACAGAGAGAGACTGGGGGCCGGGTCGCAGCTGAGAAAGACGCGTAGAGAGAAGGTGCCCGCCAGAAGCTGAGGGCGTGTGTGCAAGATAATGTGACTTTCCCCTTTCAGGCCTTACCAAGCAGAGGGCATGAGGTTGTGTGTGCGGGTGATGAGGCGAATCCCAAGTTGCTCAAAAGGTATCCCACCGTGAAGAATGACGAAGTAAATAACATACAGGCCTCTCCAGCTCAGAATCGCACCTTCATCGAGAGGTCAGAAAAGCTTTGCTAGGGCCCTTGACGGCATGGCCTATCCCTTGAGATCGAGCAGCATCTCTGTGAGCAGACAAGCGCACAAACAGAGAGAGATGTCATGTGAGAGGCCTTGTGGCTGCTTCTCGCTTCGTGTGTGGCCTCTGTGTGTGAGCCTTTCTGGTGCTTTTGTGTTTTCGGAGAGAGCATGCGCCGTTAGCGACCCCTAGCACCACTCAAGCTCGCAACTGTAAATACTCTCTGCCACAGGGCTTTTCCCATTGCAGGAGGGCGGGGGCGGCTGCTGATGTGCTCGGGTAAACCCTAATTATGCGTAGGGTTTGCGAATTTCGTGAATGCGCGTGTGCAGGAGGGCGCAGCACGAAGGCAGGCGCCTTCCCACACACGGATGTGCGCAGGGGTGGACTGTGTGTGCAGAGAGGGAGGGAGGGAGGGAGGGAGGGGGCGTGCACTGCACATGTGCCCCTCTCTCTCTCTCTGTGTGTGTGTGTGTGTGTGTGCGTGTGGGTACCGCGGGCGTGGTGGATGGAAGAGACAAGACAGACACCCCATTGCTGATTTATTTGCATTTGTCTGTCTTTCAACTATTCAATTTCGATACATACGGACCGGAAGAGTCCTTTCTGTCCCACGTACCATCCATCCATGTATGTGTGTACATACAGATATCGACACAGCACAGAGAGAGGCAGCACACATATGAGAGAGAGAGAGAGGCACAGAGAGAGGGGGGCACCGCACCGGGTAAGGGAAGGTAGAGGGGAGGGAGGCACCAGCCTAGGAGGGAGGGAAAGCTACACACACAGAGGCAGGCATGGATCAATGTCTGTCTGCAGGGATACAGGCACGAGATGCATCTCTAGCTTTCTTGCTTGCTTGCTCAACCAACAGGACAATCAATCGCTACAAAACACCTCAGCTCCTCCCTGCGTCAGTCAGTCATTCCCTCGCTCCTTAATTACCAAGGTAGGTAGGTGGACACGCTAGTCCCCTCCCCTCCCCCCGGTTCCCATACGAACGACCATTGGTCGCTATCTTACTAACCGACCCACAAATGCAGCGATCCGTCCGTCCGTCTGTCTGTCAAGTCAGCCGCCTTCACTCGACCTGTGTCGTGTGTTGGCGGCATCAGTCAGCCAGCCAGCAGCCAGCCAGCCGATAGACAGAAAGAAAAAAGAGAGGCCACATCCTATCCGTGGTATGATCCTGTCAGTCAGCCAGCTACCTTCCATCTCTCTCTTCTCTTCGGTCGACACACACGGTGGTAAGATCTCACTCACAGCCCTCCCTCCCTCCCGCCCACCATCACCATGGACTGGGCCCAACACACATTCTG